TTTGGGAGACCATGTCACCTACAACATGGTTCATACAGATACCTAGTGCTGTTCCACCACAACTGAATCGGTTAATTTGCACCTTCAAGATGGTGGCTCCTGCACAAAGGGGATCACATGGTAAGAGCTTCCTCAGCTGGTTCACTGGAGGGCTCTCAAGAAACGCCAAGAGGTCTCCATCTACTCTGGCTTCCTTCAACTCTGCGCCCTCATCGTTGCAGTCCACACAAAATTTCTCCCCTGTCTGGGTCGCCGTTCGAACCGTCCCTGCCAATGGATTCGAACCGTCCCTGCCAATGGATAGAATTCAGTCAGAACATCAGCCAGAGATGCCTTCAATCTGTGCGAACCGAGCTCTTTCGAGCTTTTTGTGTAGAAGAAGATGAGGGGACTGTATGTGAAGGGCACCAGTGAATCCAAGAAGCAAAGCTTCATGGTCCGGTGGCTCTCTGGGGTAGCAGAGGACGGTTTGATGGTTTCTGTAGAGACGATGATGACGTTTTGCATTTTGTCACAAGGGCTAGAGCAAAGCAGATTATCTTTTGATGGTGTTATGATTGGTTTCCACCCATTAAGTAGTTGGGATCTTAGTCCCCATTTCAGGCCAATGGAATCAAAACTCTTAAGAAAGCCATGAATTGGAAAAGGAGTCATCCGTATCGGTTCATTTGTGCTTCCTAATCACTAGGCGTGGCAATGGGCCCCGTGACCCGGCCCATCATCTACCTAAGAAACTAGGCCGGGCGGGGTAAAACCACCCGAAGAGTAGGCTAGCGCCCATGCAACAAGAGGACCGGTTTTTTTATTTTTTTAATTTTTTTTATCAAGCCCAGTCCGGCGATGCTCGTTCCAAGCCCTATGACACTAGCCAGGGGTATTGCCTTCCTACATAGTTGAGGAATTGGGCTTTGGTCGGGGTGGCAACGGGTCTGCTTCGGCTGGACCTGGACCGAATGCAGAAAAAACTATGGGACTTGGACCTAAAACCGATTGCAATCGACCCGAAAATAAAAAAATATATTTCAATATTGTGTATATTATTATTAAAATATTTTAATTAAAAATATATAGTTATATTTATTTAAATATTATTAAAATATTATATATTTATATAATAACACTATTCGATTCGGGACCAAGGCCCTGATTCAAATAGTTTTCGGGTCCAATGTTTGGACCCGGACCCGTGTTGTGTCCGGGTCCTTAGCCACCCCTAGAGTCTTTGGTCCTGGTTTTTAATTGCACCGTTGTCAACGTTATTGGGCTTTTTGAGGGCAGCGTAAAGGTTTTGATCCTCTAACTCCCTCCTCATCAATTCCCCCTTTTACTTGTCCATGTTATCATCGAAATTTTCTCGTTGTCAACATTAGGACATCCCTGCAATTGAAGATGACATAATGAAATTATTCTTTTTTTCTCTGTCAAATAACTAAAATAAGAAAAACTTTATATACCATATATGTACGGGTAAGGTGCATCTAAAAAATCTATTAGAAAATGTTGTTAATGTGCTGGGAAACGCTCAAAGCGATCATCTCAACCTCGAGATTTATAGGCATGAAAAAAAAAAAAGGGATTTCAAGTGCTAAAAATAGTTCATTTTCTAAAACAGCATCTAGACTGTATATTTTCAAGATTTTCAAGCATTTATAGAGCGACTTGATCGTTACCATTTTTGGAACTTTAAATTCTATAATTAGGGCAACAATAGATTGTCATATCATTGAAAGAATTTGCGGCACCTAAACTGTATTTTCAGCATAGTTTTGAGATACGCCTTATTTCAATAGTATAAGGTTAATGGGCCAATACCAGGATATGTTTTAAGGAAAAAGTTTATATAAGGTTGGAAAGATGCACATCAAAAATCAATTGGAAAATATTGTTTTAATGTTGAAAAATCCTCTAATTGATCATCTCGACATCGAGATGCATAAATATGGGGAAAAAAAAATTTGAGCCTCAGATATAGTGCATTTTACAACTCATTATCTAGACCGTCCATTTTCAAGATTTTCTTATGTTTATAGATCTACTTGATTTTAACCATTTTTAGAGTTTAAAATTTTATAATTAGAGATTAAAATAGATTTTAAGATAATCATAAGAATTTTTTATACCAAAATTACATGTTATGATAAAATTTGGAGGTGTGCAACCATGTTTTAATGGCATATTCGGGTTAAATATTCTAGAGTTGGAGATTGGAAGAGTACAAACTCTAAATGCCCAAGAGGTCGCATCAATCCAAATCTTCCAAGGGCAAATATGGAATCTAGCAGCCAATTAATCCGATGATCTATTGTTATTATTCATAATTTATGGTCGTAGAGTTTATCACAATCGGAGCTTAGGTCAGATTTTGTAACCTTATTGGATTTCATCGCTTCCTTCCATTGGGCATGAGCAAAAATTGTTTTTTGGAACATTAGTAGATCCGCCTTTAATTAAACACTAGTTGGAATACGCCCATTGCACGCACGAATAAAATAAGCAATCATTGCCTTCTGAATCAATCTCATGATCTACCAATATGTAATGCATATTTTATGGAAACGCATTGACTCTATTTCAACTAATTTTGCTTTTTTTTTTTTTTTTTGTGCTTTTAACCTCCTGGAACCTAATTAATTTATGAATGATGAATAATTGACAATAATATTGTATTATAATTTTAAGAGTATTACTTCTTAAGTATTCAATGAAAATAAGCAATGTCATAACAAACAACTTTGTGGAGAGAATATGTTGGGATCCATACATGTATCGTCAACGGATGAAAATAAACAAGGTCATAACAAACAACTTTGTAGAGAGAATATATTGGAATCCATACATGTATCCTCAAGCTCACCCATATCTAGATCTTACCCATCTTTTCTCTAAAATCATCACCATCGTTGCTCACCGGCCATGCCAATGCGCGAAAATTGTACTTTGTGCAATCATAAATCTAACGGCAATCATTGCCTCTAAACCCACCAAGATCGTATCCACACCACACTATGATGGCCTCTCTCTCTCATCACCATGTATCCCCAAGAATCCTCTCCCTCTCTCTAAATGTGATGTTTCCCGACTTACGTTTAGCCAAGTCAAAGACAAACCCATGCATAAGCAACCATCCATCATGCTAGGCGTGAAACTCCAACTTTAGATTATTAAAAGAAAAGAGAACTCGAACCGGTTGGATTATCCAAAAGAGAAGAACAATCATGCATAAACAAATACAGATTAATGCCAAACACAACATGCATCACAATAGAGCTGGTCAAATTACACAAAGATCCTAAATGTAATAAATATCAAATGTACAGGAAAACAAACCAAACTAAATCCAAGCACAGACATTTGTCAACATGCACATGAATCAGACCATGGGAACATATAAAAGCATTAAAAACTAAAGCAAGGTATAAGAGGCAATCAACGAATCACCTCAAACAAGTCTAAAATCAAGTAAAAGCATGACGGAACTGTATAATGAAAATAAAACATTTACTAAAACTCAACCAATATAACGAAACCATAAAGAATGATATAGAACCATTACTTCAAAGAAGAAACTTAGTTTCTGAACTAATGTAAAGAAATCTGAAAAAAACAATAAAAAAATAAGGAAATGAGAAATAAACCCAAAAAAATTGATACATGACTCTCTCTCTCTTTATATATATATATATATATATATATAGGAAGATACTACAAAACGCATATAGGCGAAAATAAACAGTGATTTCGCTTACTCTCATCACCATCCAAAATTCATCGCAAGGTCAAGATTGTCTGGTAGTATTTTATTTTTCATGTTTTTTTCTACAAACAGGAATGACCAGAAATTTGGAGCGTGTTTTCATAAAAAATAAGTGAATCTACCAAAAATATATAAAAAATATTTTACATAAAAACAATTGATCAAAATACCCCTGAAATATTTCGGGGGTATGCTGATCAAATTTGTTTTGCGAATTAATATTATTATTATTTTATTTGGTGTACCTCACTAAGATGTACATATGCTTCAAATTTCAAATCATTCCGATTTGTAAAAAAAAAATGAAAAATGAAACGCTATTGGACAATCGTTACCATGCAATGAACTTTAGACGGTAATGAGGGTATGAGAAATCACTGTTCATTTGTCTAGAGTTAACATCCCCTCAAAATACAAAAGTTCAAGTTAGAAGGGTTGTGATGGGTGTATTTATCAAAACAATCATTCTATCTTCATTAAAAATTTATTTAAATAGGTAATTTTAAATTTGAAATTTTCACAAAAGTAGAATGACATTTTGGAAATTAGTATCCTGAAACTTTATTTGTATAGTTCCTGTCCTTTGTTAAAATTTTAATTTTACCTCTTATGGAGATGACGAAAATATCCTTTGTCTTGTAGTAATATCTACAAATTTGCCCTGCAAAAGTAACTTTTTTTGAAAAATAGAGAACAAAATTAATAAATCCACCCTTCACAACTCTCTCCATCTTGAACCTTTGTAATTTGAAGGATTGTGATGTTTAGATTATCATCACGACCCGCTCCTTTACTGAGTTACTCAAAGGGCCAGGCCAACCAAGCTCCTTTCCTGAGTTAGTCGGAGGGCCAGGGCCGAGTCCGTGGCCAAAGCCAAGCCTTGAAATATTGTTTTACGTTGATATTGACTTCACTAAGGCATGAACCCCGATAGCTCTCGCAATATATTTCAATCACTACGAAAACAATGAAATAGAGAGAAAATGAACAACGAAAGAAAAGGAAACCAAGCCAATCTATGACCACTTTAGATCTTTGTTTGGATACTTCATTCTAACTCCTATTCAACATTGGCAATCCACTTAATATTTATTAGTGGCCACTAATACATCACTCATATTGCAGTTGCAAGTGGCAACTGTCTGATACGCTCCATATCACAAGTAGTAATATTGCTAACTCAATAGTGAAGAAGAAAGCACTTAAGTGAAAGACCAGGAACCCCTCGATTCAATAGATTATGGCATCAAAGAAAAGCAGCTAAGCAAATCATAATTGAGAGAGAGAGAGGCTTCAATTCCATGTAATGCCAGTTGCCAGCAAATTCCTTGAGGCCATACTCGTTATTTATCTTGTAGAATTTATAATAATCATGGTAGTCAAAGGGTTTAAACAGCAAAGGATGGTCTTCGTCCACAAGCTCTTTGGGGGTCTTAATCAATACATTTCGGGCTGGGATCGAAAATATCCCACAAGAATATCTGTCCTCATATCCCCTCAGCATCACCCGATGTCGTACTGGATGAAGCCTTCTATTGCTCCATGCCTAAAATGATTATTCAAAAAGAACAGGAGAAAATCAATGAAGTTATTACGCATGACAGCTTTTGTAGATGGGAGCACTAGCTATTACTCCAAAACAAGGTATGGCTCACTGAAAAGAAACATGTAAATGAAGAATCAAGACAATTACAATTCAAGGGACAGAAAAAACAGTGAAAGTGAACACTTCTCGAGGACGTCATAAGAAGCAGATCAGAGAAACATGAATAGTTAGTTCTATGTAAATCCCTCATACAACTGTCTAACGAAAGGAGTCTATATGGTCAGTTATCCAGGACAGGATATGGATGGGGCCATTTCATTTTTTTTTAACGTTGTTATTTTTCATTACTTTTTATTTAAAGTTTTTTATAGTTAAATTAATAGTTACTTAAAGATATTTTTAAAAATTTCACAAAATTATAATAGTATTTTGGAAGTCAATGTCTTAAAACTATTTTTTTTTACAATACCTTTGTCCTTGTGTAAAAAAATTAATTTTATTCTTTTAATCATGATAAAGGTACACATTTTGCACCATATTTTCTAGCTCCACCTTGGCAACTCAAACAGTGGACTATGTACTTTCAAAGATTGTGAATTATAGATTATCCAAATATATATATATATATATATATATAGAGAGAGAGAGAGAGAGAGAGAGAGACTAACCATGAAAGATTCACCTATGGCGACGACAAGAGAGCCTTCCGAGGTCACCACTGGTACCCAAGACCCATCTTTAAATTGCACCTCCAAGCCACCTACTTGGTCGGGGCAGAGTTTGGTCATCATGTTCTTGTCCGTGTGACCATTCAAGCCCTCCACTTAGTGTTGTCCTTTGGAGGCCTTGTACTTCATCATGCGAAGATGATAATTTGTGGATTTGTCAAGATCATCAAAGTATTTCTCTGCACCATAACTCTCCATAACCATTAGTTTAATTAGTTTAGCGAACTCCGTTATGTTCTTTGCTACGGTCTTCACCGTCTCGCTATGTCCAAAACAACAAAAAAAACGTTAGAAGACTAAAGTAGACGAATAAATCTATAACAAATAAATTATTAAAAATTTTATTTTAAGGGTCTGGTTGTATAGAACTGATGAATGTGATTTCAATATTGAAAATCTTTGTGAAAGCCTTAACATATATTTTGATTTTTAATTATAAAATTTAAAGCTTAAAAAATAGTATACATCGAGCAGATCTAAGAGAATTTGAAAATCTTGAAAATTGACAGTCCAAAAATGCGATACAAGATGCACTATTTCCAAAATTTGTAATCTATTATTTTCTCATGTTCATGCTTCTTGATGTCGAGATGATCAATTTGAGGATATTTGGTCATCCAAACAACCTCTTATAGTGAAATTTTGAGGTGGGTTCTAATTTGATTGTTTAGAGCCTAGGCTCAATATAATTTTTTCCCTAATTTAAATATTAAGTATTTCAGAAAGACCAAAAAAAGAAAAAAATATTAAAGTTCCTATATTTTATCGATAGCTATCAAACATATAGAGCTTAATTCTTACTAATATAATGGTGTTTCAAAATTTTCATTTTTTTTGTTCTTTTTTTCTTATGTATTTTATTCTTTTTCTAAGGTTTTCCGTACTTGCCCTAGCCGAGGCAAAGTTACTTGGCTAAGTCCAGTCCTCAAACGCTGATTAGGAATGCATGGAATTAAAGACAGAGAGAAAGAGAGATCATGACATTTCAGAATCGAAATAAGGTGGGTTATTTCTACAAAAGATCTTCTTACAAATTTCTGTTTTTCAGTATTTCAAATGAAATTATATTGAAGAAGATTGTTTCGGTTAATCAATACTGGGCATGAAAAATGTTTGGCCGCCCCATTTGAGCATTCATACAACCCCAGTAATTTGGTCACCCATCAACTAACATACATGCAAGTTGTGTCCGTAAACTGCTCGACGCTCTCTGGCTGGGCTGAGTGATCAATGCCCGTAACCTCAAAGAAAGGAGCATGAGGTAAGGACGCCCTATATCCATGGGACTAGAACTCGGATCGGTTCTTCATTTTGGTTTTTTGGGGAAGTTCAAAGAGTTCTTTAATAGCATAGAACATTTCCTTCTGCAGAGACTCAAGGACTGCAGTATTATAGACAGCCTCAAAGCACCCTGGGCCTTCCAGAGCTCCTTGCACCTCTCGTGTCAGTGCATTCCATCTCTCATCTCCATGTTTTAAGTCACCTGAGAAATCAAGGACTGGTAATTTCATGGCAGATTGAGAACCCATGTGGGTGGGCTCGAATATGTGTTACAAGTCTTGCAAAATAAATAGAAATACATGAGAGAGAGACCTCATAAAAAATTACACATGGGTGAGAGAACCTCATTAAAAACTCATATTTTATACTCAATGATTATATACTAATTTAGTACTCAGGGCAAACTCTCTTTTTTCAATTATTACACTCTCTCTCTTTCTTAAATTATTACACTTTCTCTGCCCACCACATGGTCTCTCTCCGTTATCATATTACACTTTCTCTACCCACTACAAAGTCTCTTTCAATCTTATCAAATTCGCTTCGCATCGGCCGAAGAGGCTGAAGCTTTTGGATTTTGGGCATAAACCAAAGAGAAGTGACGCCGAGTGCTGCCTCCTTAGTTAGATTCAGGCCGCTTCAATCAGATTCGAGCCGCTTCGGGTCTGTTTCGGATATGATTTGGGTCGACCAGCAAAAAAATAGCTATAAAAAATTATTTTTTTAAAATTTTAAAATTTTTATTATTTATGTATATTTTATATATAAATATCTACAAAACACCAAATTACTTCATTCTTTCCACCAAACCCAAAAAATATTTGAAACGAATCTCACAATTGGACTCTCATCCTTTACAATCTTTCAAGAATTTGAAACGAATCTCACAACTGGGCTCTCTTCCTTTACACTCTTTCTTTTTTGGGTAAATACGTGACCGACTCACTTTTCAAACACTTCACACACTTTCCTCATCCAACAACCCTCTCTTTCTCTCTCATATACTTTCTTCTTCACCACACCCTTTACAATCTTTCAAGAATTTGAAACGAATCTCACAACTGGGCTCTCTTCCTTTACACTCTTTCTTTTTTGGGTAAATACGTGACCGACTCACTTTTCAAACACTTCACACACTTTCCTCATCCAACAACCCTCTCTTTCTCTCTCATATACTTTCTTCTTCACCACACCCATGTCACTTCCTCACTCTTTCTCTAAACCACTCAAACACCTCATATGCGACCTATGCTTGCTTCCTCACTCTATGCACAAGCTCTAACCCATAGCCCTATTTATAGACACATTACACTGCCATTGCACTGCCCATACCTATCAAAGTGTGGTCTTAATTGTGCCACAGGTCACTAACTCAATAAAGCTCTAGCAACTGGTAGAAAGAACGTAAAGGACGACAAATTTATGTAGGATTTTCTATATATATAGAGAAGGCTATTTATAGATTATTTACCAATTTTTGGTATTCATTTTGCATCCTTCTTTGTTGTTGTCATGAAAATGAAGTGCTTTATGATCTAGCTCATCCTTAATGTTTCTCATGAAGAATTCAGGTTGTCCCCTAATTCATCTACTTTTCTTATGTCGTGGTTCGATTTTTCGAAACTCAACCTTCTCACTAGTCTTCTCAAAGAGATTGACTTGCTTGTGACTTGCTTTTGCTTCATAGAATTCATCTTTGAAGAAGTGGGTATCTTGACTTTCTATGACTGCCCCATTTTTCAAGTTGAAGAATCAATACCCCTTAGCCAATGAATATACACTTAATATTCTTGGGATCTAATTTTATCCTATTTTTGTATGGGATCAGGGCAGGGGCACAATAGCTTCCACACTCTTAGGTGGTCAAGGGACAGGGTACAACTAATGAATATTGATTGAGGAGTAAGAGGAGCTACTTTAGTGGCTGTACAGTTCTGGATGTAACCTGTCATCAATATTGTTTCTCCAAAAAATATAGAGAGCTTTGGGTGCCCATCATAATGATCACCATTTCAACCAAGTTCTTATTTCATCTCTCGGTAACTCCATTTTTATAGGGTATGTACGGCATGGTGTATTGGTGAATAATCCATGCGCACAAGCCATTATCTAAATAGATGTAAGGAGTAGTCACTGCCCCTAGTGGTTCTTAAGACTTTTATTTTCTAGTGTGTTTGGTTCTCTACCTTGGCTTTATATTATTTGAATCACTCTAAGGCTTCGAATTTTGTGTACATTAAGTATATATGGACATATCGTGAGTGGTAATAAATAACAATGATGAAGTACCTCTTGCGGCTTTTAGTAGCCACATTCATATGATCGCAAATGTCGCTTTTGATGATTTTAAGTATGCTAGAAGCTCTTTGTGCCGTAATGGAATTTTTCCTTATTAATGTTCCTTGCACGCATGACCCACACAGCCTTGATGTCACCTTTGTAATATTTCGGAATTCCATCTTTTCTTAGTCTTTCCATTCTCTCAAATTCTATGTGCTTTAATAGCATTTTCCATAAGAAAGCATCAACATCATTGGAGTGAGATGAGACATAAGCAACCACCGCTTTTACTTCAATGGAATACAGATTATCTTTGAGTAGATCGGTTATAACAATATCATTATGGTTTTTCACTATTACCTAATTTACAGAGAAGGTGGTGATAAACAGGGCCTTTGCCATCATTGGGACTGAAACAAAACACTTCCAGGGCATTTGCCATCACTGGGACTGAAACAAAACACTTCCTCATAATAAGAGCATAAATTCTTTGTTCTACGACCATGGCCATTCTATTCTTCATCTTTAACGCATGGTCCCCAACACCCAAAATATCATTACTTTAGTTTCTCCGCATATAGATGTGTTGCTCACCCAGCCCTACATGTTTAAAAGTGCGGCATCCATCCTTGATGTTTGGCATGTGGGCTATAGCTCCCTTGTCAAGACCACATGATGCGCCCTTGGGGTTGGCTAGCAAGGTCTTGAACACCACAGATGGAAGTTCTCTATTTCCCTAGGGTCTTGTTGCACCTGCAATCTTTAGTTATATAGCCAACTTTCTTGCATATGTAGCAAGCCTTATTCTCTCTCTTTTCCTTAAACTTATTTTGATTTTCTCTCTCCCCTTTTCTTATCTTCTCTCCTCTTCTTATTTTTCATTTTCCCTTTCCCGATTTTAGGCTTAAAATACAGTTGAGAATTTACCATGTGCACCGCATCTTTGGGTGCCGGTCCATTGAAAACGTTCCGCCTATCCTCTTGGGCTTTGAGCAAGGTGATGAGCTCCTCTAGCCTAGAAGCAGTCTATTGGGCAGCAAGAGAAGGTATGAATATCTTCCAAGAAGTAGGGAGAGTTTTCAGCAAGTGATTTAGAAGCATGGGTTCTTGGGGTTGTATCTAGATCTCCATTTCTCAACAAAGCACCCTAGTGTGCATATGCTCTGTTATTCTTCACCCTCGACCATTTTCATATCATTGTACTTATTTATGGAAAATGATTTCCTCATAAGATGAGGCTCAACATACTCCTTCTCTAGCCGATCACGCATCCCTTTAGCAGTTTCAATTGCTCATACTCAGATGCATATGAATCGTGTATAGTTAAGAGCAAGATAGGCCTTTTATGTATATTCTTTCCCTCCCACTCGGCATATGCATCTCTAGTAGCCTGAGATGCATTGCCTTAGGATGGGCTGGAGGAGTCTTAGTAAGTATCTCATGCAAATCCTCCTCATAGAGCACATAGCTAAGCATGCGCTTTCAGTCTTCAAGATCTCGATAATAAATCTGTGTTCAGCCATATGTTCTTGTCCCAAAAGAAATAAAAGACTCACATAAAGGAAATAAATCAACCTAATGGTGACAAGAACAGGCTCTGATACCAATTAAAGTTGGACAGGGAAGCTAGCACGGTATATGCAGTTTTTTATTTTTCTCTTTTTTACCTATTAGAACACTTACAGAGGTCAAATCGTCATCATTATCATAGCTTTTTCCCAACTAATTGGGGTTGGCTATGTGAATCTTGGTCTGTCATTCTGCCCTATTAAATGCCATACCATCAATGAGGTCATAAGTCCTCATCTCTTTTCGGACTAACCCTTTCCCTTTTCAATCCTTCCACTTATATTAACCCGTACCTTCTAACTGGTATTGTACTAGGTCGACACTACTCATAGCCAGCCCACCTAAGTCTACTCATTCCCATCTGTTCACCTGTGGAACAAATAAATAAATAAAAGAATAACAACTAAAGATGTTCTCACTTACTGCCACTAAATAAAACTCTTTAATTTTAATGAACAAAAATTGCATAAACTCAGTAGGGACCAAGAAACACAAAATTGTATAGCATAAAATAAAATGCCAGAAGATTACCTCAATTGGACTTGGTACGCCCCATTTCAGGTCGCATTCTCCGATGGTGCAAAGGATCAAGGTTTATCTAAGATCTTTATAAGTATGGAAGCTTAAGCTATAAATCCTTTTTATCAGAGAGCAATGGTGGAACACAGAATTAGGCCCCAAAGCCTATTGTATGGGGCGTGTCCCTCTCCTAGTACTATGGTTGGGGCATCCTACTTTTTTCCTTTCACAAAATATTTTCCAAATATTTGGGAGGTTTGGAGAGATGATAGAGATCAGAGAGAGAGAGAGGGGCATGTGGCTCATAGAGGGGGGGAGAGAGAGAGGTAATCTTAAGTGTAGAGAATTGATCTCCATATTGAGAGTATTTATAGACTCTCACTTAGGGTTAGGATTTATAGAGTTAGCCATCCTTTTGGATAATAGATCCAGATCCTTAATCATTGGAGACCTATGGGCGTGAGCAATTTTAGCCTCACAATCGTTAGATTAGCTATCATGATCGAAAAAGAAGGTGCTAAAACCTTATCTTTCAACTTAACCTAATCCCATCAACTATATAATACACGAAAAATATATTTCTCTTTCTTTTAATTTCCATATTATTTGTTACACAATTCAAAAAAAAAAAACTCAAATCTCTTTAATTGCAAAACTTTCCTTTTTGCTTCAAATCTCTTCAATGGCATCTTGCATGGCTTACAAAATAGGAAAGAGGTTCCATTAAGTGGGGTGTGCCTCTCATGAGGCAACAAGTGGGTCTCACGCTCTTCCTTCATTCAATTTTATGGTGGGGCTCATGGACAATAATGGGCACCCATGTGTTTTATTATTTTGAAATTAAAGAAAAATAACTTTTAGAAATAACTTTTAATTTTCT